TTAGTGGGAGGTTCCCTTCAAAAAATTACTTTAAATGTCCAAATAAAGACTTAGAACCTCAAAATAACATCTTTGTATTGATAAATAATGACTGAGAATCTCATAATGAGTGACCATAACTTTAACATAATATCTAATTATTCTGAGATACTAAATGATACCTTAAGTAAACAAATTATTAACTTAGTATATAGAAATAATGATTTAATTCTGCAAAAATAATAGGGAACTTTAAAATAATGACTTAGCATTTCTAAATATTAAGTAATGTTAACTTTTATAATTCTTTACTTTATACTGAGATACTTATTTTTTGAGAATGAGACATTTTCTTGAAAAAAAATCCTATTTCCTCAAATGAATGACAAAAACGATTGACTTCATATCTAAAATAATGACTTTGTATGAGACAACTATTCAAAATAACTACTTAGTAACTTAAAAAAATGAATTAGTATCTCAAAAATAATGGTTATTTTAGTTTAATGGTCTTATTTTAAAGACAGTGTTTCTTAAAATAACTATCAAGGCTAATCCTTCATCTTATTAACATCTTAAACTGGGGGAAATGGTCTTCCATAGTTTTAGTCTGATTCAGTTTCAGGTGATCTTTGGCTTCAGAGTCTCAGTTTCCTTCAGAGCTGGAGAGCTAACGGAGAGGAAGAGTTCAGGCTCATTCAGTAGCAGAGAAACAGAAGAGCAGGAGGACATTTAACCTCCACAGAGCAAATCAGATTTATAAATGTCCCATCGTTTAAAAATAAACTTGTCTAGGTTTGATTCATTGAGGCTTACATGTTGTCACCTTTTGACCAAACTAGAATAAACAGAGATAAGAAAAAAGGGGAGATATTTTAAGTTTTAAATCGGTCTTTTGATGCACATTGTAAATGTCTAATAATAATAATTGTCTGTATAAAAGTACATTGGTGATTTTTGGTGAATAAACATTGAATATCCCTCAACTTACGGTATTAACGACAAGCCTTTTAAGTATCTAAGCTTCTTTAGATAGCATCATATTGTTCTATTGCTAATGGTTGCTACTATGGGTTTGTTTAGTCTTTACATACTGTGCTTTTTAATGAGGATATATGCTCACATGCATTATGTTCAGCGTTTGTTTACTTCTCCAGATTTATAACTGTTTTCTCTGTACGAACGTCTTCCAGATCTCCCGTTAGCTCTCCATCACATCAACATCCATCACAACAACATCCAACATCCACCGTTTAAGGCACAGTTTCGTTTCAAAAACAGTCATGAGTGAATTAAAACATGCAACAATACAGCACTGAACGCACAATAATACACAACCATTGCCAAGGTTAGTCAGAGTGTGTGTCCCTTCAGATATTAACCCTGTGTGTTGTGTTGCAGATTATTATAAATAAATCAGAGGTGTTGTGATAACTTACCATTATTCCACATTGTGCATTTCTGATATTTTGTTCCAGTGATTTCAGATATGGAAAGTTTATGAGTAGGGGAGGGATGGGGGGGGGGGGCAACCCAGTGTCAAGCATTACCATCCAAAGGGTCAGTAAAGAGCTACACACACACACACACACACACACACACACACACACACACACACACACACACACACACACACACACACACACACACACACACACACACACACACACACACAGGAATATTTACATTAGTGTATATTATACCATTAAAGTTAGAGAAAGTATGGTAAAATTTACGTGGTAAAAAGTAGAAATTAGTAAAAAAAAAGTAATAGTACAGTATTTCATTAAAAAAAGTAATTAAAACGTTTAAAAAAAAAAAAGTTATAGAATGGTTTTTCATCAAAAAGTAAAAACAAATAATATTAAGTGTGTAAAGGAAATGTAACAAAACGTCAGAAAGAGGTGAAAATGTCAAGAAAGTCATTAAAGTAATAAAAAACAGTGAAAGATTAGTAGAATAGTATATTATAGAAAAGTTAAAAGAACTATAACAAAACATAAAAGGAAAATGAAGTCATATATTAAAAAAAAGAGTAAAAGTATGCGTAAGATATGTCATAAAAAGTTAAAAAGGCTTTTAAAAATGTCAGTTTCCTATTTCAGAAAACGGTTTAAGATTTGTTTCCACATTTATATTAAATATTTGCCACACACACACACACACACACACACACACACACACACACACACACACACACACACACACACACACACACACACACACACACACACACACACACTACGACTACGTACGTAGTACGGCGTCGTAGGTTCGTAGTACGACGACGA